GGCCTGATTACTGGGCTCACTGGTGTCATAATACGTGCGTATAGGCATTGTCATGACTCGGTGCAGCTTCCTAAGGGCTTTTTAAGGTGTAGTTTAATAAAATATCAGGCATTAGCGTCACGTCTGCTGTTTAGCGCGATTGTTTTTTCTCCTGTTGACTGACGCCGGAAATTGGCTACTAATTGAATGTGTGGGGCGCAATTATAGGCTACAACACTATATTCATTGGGAAGCCGACAGGTTTTTGTTTTCTAATACGGATACACTGAGTTTGGAAACAGGGAAATGATCTGCGTGCAAGAAGACAATTAATCCGCATGAGATGCAATAGCATGTTTTCTCAAGCATTATCCAAGATGGTATCCGGACCTGGATAGCAGTCAACGAATTCGTGAGTGTGCATAAGCGACCGCGAGTAGAGATCACGTTTAACAACCAGAAAGGGCCCATGGTTCACTGAGTTTTTGCTTCGCATGAAATTACAGAGGTTCTGAAGGTAATGAATGGAGTAGGATGGGATTGTATTTGCAGGACGCGTTCACTCTTATTCAGTAATGATCGGAGAAAAGGTATGGGAAAAATTAACTATGATCCTCTTTTATGTATATTTCTTTCTAAATAAGTATGAGTTACATAGTACGCCAATTATAGGGCTTTCTACATGTTCTACGAAAAAAAGACTCAAATTACTTAACACAAGTGCAAGCAGATAGACATAAGACTTCAAGATGATCAAATGCACAGATAGTCGTTTGAAAAAGGCAAACTTCATGAGCAAGGGTTAACGGGACTCTCGATTAAAGAGCCTCAATGATCTCTTAGGCAGCACAAGCGGGATGTCAGATGTAAGAATAGAGCGCTTTAAAAAGACCGCTCCTAAGTTGTCTACACGATAGCAGCCTAGTGGGTGATGTCCGGCCTGACTTTCGTCGAGAGGCTATTAATGCATGAATTATATTCACTCTGAAAGAAAAGGTTGAGGCAGCAGAATAACACACTCAGTAGAAGCCATAGTGCTAATTTCAAAAAGACGTT